CCTTGCCTGGGACGACTGGGATTTCGATTTCGATGGTGCTATATGGCCCAAAAGCAATGAACCTGTCGATCCAGCCCTAAGTCTCGGAGTTATCATCTGGCATCCCGCAAAGCAGGTAACACGTGCATTACCATCAACCTTCGCCGAGGCCGAAGAAGACGCACTGAAACCTACGCCGGAGAAACTGGACAACGGAGATTCAGTGTCGATGTACTTTACAGCCGACAACTCGCATGAGGCTTTCTTGAATGTTAGGCAGACAGACGAATGGGAGACACTTCAAGATGACCCAGTCTTCGTCGTATTCACAGACGAGGACATGAAATCCAATCTCGTCTCGCTAGAGGATTGTATTGCTCAACGAGATCGACCGGACGAATTGTACGAGGAGGTACAGCAGGATGAGGATCTGGAGATGCGCGATGCTACGTGGGACATTATGGATAACCTTGAGCAAGCACTCGCTACAAACAGTGGATCCACCAAACCTGCCACTACGGAGTCTGAGACAGCACCTCCTCAACAGCTAAGCCAAGAAGACATCCTGGCTAAACTGGGCGTGACCGGGACCCCGAAGCCACCATCAGATGAGCAGATTTCACTACCATTATCTGCCTCCGATGCGAAGATCCCGTCGGCACTTCCTGGCAAGCCATCATTGCCTTCTGCCTTCACAAAGACTGCAGAGCCTGCTCTTCCACCTCAACGAGCGCAATCGTATGGAGGGCATCGCAACAATACACATGGACCTCCGCTGCCTCGGCCGTATGGCTCCATGTCGTCTTCCACCACCTCTAGGCCCCCACCTCCACCTCCACCCCCACAACAACAACGCTACGATCCTTGGAATGCGCCTCAGCATCGTGGCCATGGTCTCGATGGCTCCAGGGGCAGTCCAGCGCTCTCTGAAGGAAGCAACCACACCATGGCTGGCTCTGATTTCGAGCCCGAAAATCCCAGCAGCGAGATACGACGGGATGTGCCAAGTGCAACCTCACTCGACCGAGGCGATAGCTCTTTCTCTCGGAAGAGGAGCTATGAGGATGCGGACCACGAGCATGAGCGCTTGCGGCAGCAAGAAGACTACAGCAAGCGAAAGCGGCGCTCTCAAGTTGATGCTGCGTACAGGTAAGACCTGCCAATTCCTTTTAACGCTCTCCAATTTTCGTGCAGAATCTTACTAGTCACAGCCGACGTTGAACGTCCCGTCAGTATGAGTACACCCACTGCAATGCTTGCTCAGAATTCTTGTCAGAGCCGTCCATTCTTGTGGCTGCCGTGTCATTCGTCAAGAGCACCTCCCGCCAGCCTCTTGACCTTGCACAATGGTCTTTCTAAGATACTGGATCATCCATTTTATGCAGCATATTATCATGCTGGATGATGCCCTACATTTTCATTCACTGCTTTGATACTACACCCTCACGTCTACAGGGGTTGACGACTGTGATCCCATTTTCTGTCTAAAGAATGCTTTGATGAGTTTGTTCAGAAAGGGTGGCTTATGGGTATGGCGTCATTCAGCGCTTGATGTTCATTTCACAGGGCACGTTATGTCCTTTTCTCTTCACTGTCTGTTCAAGACGTTCTGTCATCTTGTCATCTTCACCACCATTTATATCAATCTCATTCGATCTTCCCACTTGTCGCGTCAAATTCTGTCGATGTCATCCTTTTATCTGTTCACCTACCACCATGTTTGATCCTTGTTCTTCAGATCACGTTTCCTTGGTGTTTAGTCCCGTAGTTCGCTCGGAGATTGCGATCCATGTTTTATCCCTATAGTCCAACAAGATCACACAATCGTATGTGCAGTAAGTATATGTTGGTACTCGTGGTGTGCGTTGCTAGCTACTTCAAGTAAAATGGCGCCAGCCACAGGATATGCATACTACGCTGGCACTCAGGTAGCCAGCTGCAAGCTATTCTCTACCTTCCAGCGAGGGCTGTGACCTTGAAGATCTTTGATCCATGATGCGTAGCAGAATCTACAGGCTGAGCCACATGTGCTAATATCAGGTGCTAATATCAGGTGCTGGGGAGGACAGCTCTTCTGTATGTGATCCAACCTGTGTGCCACACAAAGCGTTTGTTTTCAATGGGACATGAACACGTACATATTGAACTAGAGAATCAAAACGGATTATGTGCAACGTTCGGTGATCTTGGATATCTGATAAGTGACATATGGATATGCTGCGAGGCGGGCAGTTGGTTTCCAGAGCTTGCCACTCGATAAGAATAATTTGTGAACGAAAGATCGGCTTGGAAAGACGTCGAATTGCAGAAGCGGCGCTTCATCTTGACTAGCGCCAGTGTGACAGCGGTGGTTCCCGTATATCGTATTCCAGGTACCTCGGCGAATGCACAGCCACGCACAGCCACAATGTGCGTCATCAGATCAAGCGACTGCAGGTACCTCTCACTCAGGCGACACCCCGACGCCAGCACAACGACTACGACCTTGTACCTACAGCTGCGCAACCCAACCCAGAACTCTACATCGCGATTCACTGTCATCATGTGCGGCTCCGACTGTTTCTTGATGCTTCTGAGCGTCCTGGTACGTCCACGTCCCCGAAACTGCAGCAGGCACCAGCCATCTCTTTGCGACCCACCGTCTTCAAGTACTGACACGTCAACTAGTTCCCACCTGTGGGGGTATGGGTAAAGAAAGGCCTCTGCAGTGCCGACTCTCTCATCAATCTCGCGCTCTGCTGTCTCGGTTTCCTGCCAGGCCTCCTACACGCCTGGTACGTGATCCTCCAAAACCCAGATCCGTACGACGCATACCAGCAAGTGCCCGACCGCGAACGCGGCGCAAACAGCAACGGCGGAACCACATACTATGTCATCACCCACGAGCAGCCGGCTGGAGGACAGGCGAATTACGGCACCGTGGGCAGCCAGCCAAGCAACGGCCAGTTCCCCGGACAGCAGAGTGGCGTGACAAACAGCTTTGCGCAACCAAAGGGAAGCAAGGCCGCGAAGGACGCTTCAGCCCCGAATGCTGCTGCACCGCAAGCCGGCGAGGGTAGCTCGAGTCAGCCTGAAGGGCCACCACCGACCTATGCAGATGTAATCAAGGGCGACAACAAGGTCCAGGGCCCGTAAATGGACAGACTTGGGCGCATATGTCTCAAGAGAAGGGACATGGAGAGCAGTACAATACGTGATAAGCGGCGCACAGGAGTGCTTGGACCGGCAGTAGGGCGTTCATGATACTGGATATGGTTATCTCATGTAGGAAAGGAGTACTTGATGTAAACATTACAAAGGATTCAATAATTTTGCTACGCCTTTCTCTTGCAGCCATGGTATACGCGACTAGCTCCTTTATCATGCGCATTGTGAGGCCCGTACGTCATCGGCCGGATTGCATACTGTGGCTGCATGAGCGAAGGCAGACATACAGATGCAAACCTGCGAACCGTGTCTTACCATCATACTGAGCGCTATGTCTATGGGCAATCTCGAACTCGATTTTTTGCGCACGAATCAGGCTGTTGCGGCGTGCCGCCACCCACGTCGCTGCGGCATGCCTTCGGCGAGTGCGCACCAATGCTGTGAGGACGGCCCCGGCATTTCTTTTGCTTTGTGCCCGCCGACATCCATGGCCGTTGCGCAACTTGCCTAGTTGGGCAACAGACATAGGAAAAAGCAAGAAACGTCGATCGTGTGAACGCAGGCGATAGGATATATTTTCCCTCGTGCGTGGTGTCCAGTCGAGGGTTGGTGCGCCATGATGGCGCCATCGTCGTGCCATCATCACTCCAGCTGTGCAACTGGGGTAAGGACATATGCAGGCGCAGATCACCAGGTCAGATGTGATGCATGTCTAAGAGCTATCATATCGCGTGTATATAAATGCAGGATTAAGCGGATGCTATTTCAGATCTCTGTCATGGCCGCATGCGTCTTGCTGCGAGTGTAAGCTTTGATGCTTGTCGTGCGTATAAAGATCATTCGCGGTATTTCAGTCGCACTCGGATGCAAGCAGACGCAAAGCAAGCGTCTGGAGCTTACGGTGTACAGCAGACGTGGTAAAACCTCCAGGGTGCAGCCTGCGACGCCGGCCAAACAGCCATGGGGGAAAGCAAGGAAACTTCAACAACACCAGCAGATTCCCCAGATCAAGTATCGTGATGCTTTGCTAGTGCGCAAGCTGGCATGCAGGGTCGACCAGTTAAGCGTTTCCAAGTCTAGCCGCGTCGTCATGCCCAGACCGCCTCTGCGCCCGATGCTAGCCCAAGCCCCCAGCCAAGTGCCTCGAGTGAATCTTGGTTCTCCGTAACAAGGCTTGACTATCATGACGTGAAGCTTCGCACATCTGTCTTCCGAGAGGCAATCACGTAGACTCCGAACGCAGTGATTTGCGTTTGCATGCGCGCGCTACTGTAAACACAGCCTTTTGACAATCCCGTTAGCTCCTATTTGCCCCCGTCAACTGTGGCTGAGGCGTTTCTCATTCGTGCATTCACACAACAGCCACAACTATACTCGTCAGTGTTGGACTCGTCAGTGCGCTGGCCTCCTGTCAACGCTGGTTTAATTACCCTTGGCCCCTTCCTCCCTTTCTCCATTCACTCACCGGTCCTTTGTTCTCAGGGCAGACCTCCAACGACAAATCTCCGACACAGATTGCACGCGTACCTGCGTCTGTCTCTCCCCGGTTGCATCAGGCACACTTTTTCGCGCGCTCGTTGGTCCAGACAATTGTTCGCCCCCATTTCATCCGTTTCGGCCCCCAGCCACCCGTTCCGAATCACAAGCAACTCGTTCCGAGTACTCACTTGGCATATCGAGCTGCACGTCGCACTTCTTGAGCGCGACTCTCAACTGGACCACATATCCACCACTAAGTGCAAGAAGACGGCACAGCTGCCGCGAAAGTAGATCAATGCGTAAGTGGATCCACATCTCCGAGAATCGAGATCGCGATAGGTCTCGATTATCCCTCGACCCGACTTCTTCTGCCAAACACCAGAACACATCTAATAATGAATTTAGATACCGTACGAAGGCAGGCACATCGCGTCGCGTCGCAACATGGCGGCAACGGCGCAGCGAACTACAACCCATTCGCCCGACAACGGTCTCGAGACGTTAACCTAGACGAAGAGAACGCAGTACACAGGACGCGATCGGAAACCCATGCTACACCCGCCATCGAGGAGCAAAGACGGCTAGAGAGCATGCAAGCAGGCAAAGAGTTCGGTATGCCCGGCCACCACAACACCGAACCATCTACGTCTTCTCCAACATACGGAAGCGCGTCTACGACTATCCCGGAGTCAACGGAGGAGAAGGATATGATGTCCGAAACGAATGGCGCGCACAAGGCTTCCGGCGACAGCACCATTGCGCCTTCCAACCAAGAGGCCAACGTCGGCCCCACCCGTCGTGCCAAATTCAAGGGCATCTTCCGCAAAGACCACGATGCACCAGATGTTGCGGCAGAGGACCCGGAAGACGACGAACTTTCGCTAGAGGAACGCAAGAGGAAGGCTCACAAGAGGAAGATACCAGTCGGCAAACAGATCCGTTTCGTTCTTTTCGGTGCCTGGATCAATGTTCTCCTCATCTTTGTGCCCATCGGGTTTGCTGTTAGATACGCACACCTGAAACCCGTCCCGGTTTTCGTCATCAACTTCATCGCCATCATCCCGCTCGCAGCCATGCTCAGTAATGCGACTGAAGAGCTGGCCATCCGCGTTGGCGAGACTCTTGGTGGGCTGTTGAACGCTACCTTTGGCAACGCCGTCGAACTGATCGTGTCCATTCAAGCCCTGCTCAAAGACGAGATCACTATTGTCAAGACTTCACTCATTGGCAGCATGTTGTCGAATTTGCTATTGGTTTTGGGTATGTCCTTCTTCCTGGGAGGAATCAACCGCCTGGAACAGTTCTTCAACGTCACAGTTGCACAGACGGCGGCATCGTTGCTTGCTCTCTGTGTTGCATCGCTTATCATTCCGACTGTGTTCCACAACACCATCGCCGAGGATGACAGCACCGCGAACAATGGTGCTGCCGATGCTGTCAGGAACCAGGAATTATCACACGGCACGGCTGTTATCCTCCTCTTGGTCTACGCTTGCTACCTTGCCTTCCAGCTAAAGACTCACGCTACCATGTACAACGAGCCTAGCCAAAAGGTCCCTAAGCGCAAGTCTGGCAAGAAGGAGGAGGGCGATGCTTCGCGCGGCATCGCAGCTATTGGCGCCGGTACCGCTGCAGCATCCGGAGGCGGTGTCAACATGAAGTCACTTTTCAAGAACCCCGACGGCTCAGAAGACGACGACGACGAAGAGGAGTTCGAAACACCCTCGCTCTCTGTTCTCGGCGCTCTCGTTACTCTCGCAATTTCCACAACTCTTGTCGCTTTTTGCTCAGAGTTTATGGTCGAAAGTATTGAAGGTCTTACCGATACCGGTAAAATCTCTACTACCTTTGTCGGTCTTATCTTGCTTCCCATCGTTGGTAATGCTGCCGAGCACGCCACCGCTGTCACTGTCGCCATCAAGGACAAGATGGATCTGTCTATCGGTGTTGCTGTTGGCTCCAGTATGCAAATTGCTCTTCTCGTCTTCCCGTTCATCGTCATCTTGGGATGGATCCTTGGCAAAGACTGCATGACTCTGTACTTCGACAACTTCCAAATCGTCACACTCTTCGTCTCGGTATTGCTCGTCAACTACCTCATCCAGGACGGCAAGTCACGTAAGTTTACTCCCCTGCTCTGCTCATGTGCGCATTTTACTAACAAGTTGCAGATTGGCTCGAAGGCATACTGCTCATGGCCAGCTATATCATCATTGCACTGGCTGCCTGGTTCTACCCCGAAATTTTGGAGAACCAGTGCTAGACGAGGTCTCTCACAGACTCTTTCTTTGTTTTCTTCATGTGCATACTTGTAGGGTTTCTTCGGAAAGAGGTGGTGAATAGGGAGTCTTCTTTGCTTACATGGGTATACATACTGCACCTACTGCCGTTTCCTTTCGAATTTGTTCCGATACCCAATAACACGACAGGTGTATTGTAGCACCTTAACCCATAACAATATAAAGAATAATGTCTAACGCGGGTTCTTATACAATGATGCATATCATGTAGCAGAGCTGCAGGCTACGAAGTATCGCAACTTCGGGTTGTATGCTTCGAAACGGGTGCCGCTCTCTTCCTGTGTGAGCATTATAATGATGAATTTGCGCTAACCTGTTGAAAGGTCAGGAAACCTCGAATCGGTTTGCCGCCTACAATGCCTGCGTCACTCACGATGACAACTGTTCGGGAGGTGCGAGGAGGTTCTCAGCAAGTCGCGCACATTGTATTGCGCCAACCGGAGCCAGGAGACCTTAGATGGGTACATCGCCGACAATGTCTACTTCGACCACAGCCGCAACTCTTTTGAGGCGACCAGGAGGCTCTCAGCGAGTCGCGTACAGTGGACTACCAACAAATTTGCATTATGGTATTCCAGACGCTCACTCACCTCGACTTGAGCAAACCGACCTGAAGTGCTGGTACAAATGGCTTCTGACAGGTATCCCCCATGTATTACTCTCTCACCTCAATCTGGACCTCCAGCGTCTGCTGCGCATCTCTCTCACCTAGCTCCCCGCTCCGTCGTCTGTCGCGTGAGCCTCTATATAAGCCTCACTTTCTGCGCCTCCTCCGTCCTCCCTCCACCGCACTCCTCCTCATTCTTCATCAATCTTTCAACCCTATTCCGACCTTCAACTAGTACACAACTACTACTAAAGTCCCACCTCAACGCTCAGCCATCATGGCCGAGCCGGATGGCATGAACGCTATGTCCGACGCTCAAGTCCCGGTACCAGCTAGCGATAACCTCGACCATGATCAAGATGCACTTATGGTCGAGCCTGATGATGAGGACAACATGGCCGATGCTCAGGTCTCGCTATCACAAGTCGAGAACATGGATCACGATCAAGACACACCTGTGCCTTCAATCGAGCAAGTCCGCGATCCTGACTCGCTGTTCATTCCTGAAGACGAACCCCCTTCCCAGATCCTTAAGCATCAACAAGAACCCGTCGCACCCATCGCCACTCCGCCAATGCTTACTCCACCTCGTCCAAAGGTGGCCGGTTCAATCATTCAAAAGATTCGCGCCATGCAGAAAGAACGGCAGCATCAGAAGCTGGTCGCTAGCAGACAAACACCAGCATATCCGACCAGCTCCAACCTTGACGATGAGGCGTATCTTGAGGCTGTCAGACCAGGACAGTCTTCATCCGCTGCTGTTCCGGCTATTATTGAGGACGATCTTGCGGACAAGAGAGCCATCAAAGATTTCCAAGCCAAGAAGCGCTATTACGATGAGGTGAAGAGGACGAAGGGTACTCTATCATTCGTAGAGCAGGTTGCGTGGATGAAGATAAGGGGTGTTGAGGAAGCCAGAAAGAAGAAGCGATCTCGCGATCTTGCCAAAGACAGAGAAGCGGATGACGGCGAAGTTGACCTTTTCCCAGAGTTCAATTTAACACGAAACATTGAGGAAGAGGTGGAATCTGATCATGACTTCGACTTCGCAGATTCTGGAACTCGCAAGCGCCGCCGACCGATGCCTACCAAAGAAGGACAGCCTATGTCAATGCATGATGCCGAGCTCCAGAGCATGCATGTGGCTCTTGAAGCAGAAGGCGACGCGTCACGGAAGAAGCAGAAGCGAGCTGTAGCTTCGGCCGAAGAACAGGCTTCTGTGCCTTCTGGTCGTGGCAAAGGCTCGAAGGGAAAGGGACCCGCGAAGCCAAGATCTGGCCCTAAAAAGCCCGTCAGGGCTCGTGGTAATAAGACTTCGAAGAATAAACAGGACGCTATTCACGCGGTCAAGCAAGCGGCGTCTTTGTTCAACGCCAATGTCTTCCAGCAACAAGCCGGCGCTAACGCAGCTGACCAGCCAGGGTTCAGATCAAGAAACAAAGCTGATGCGTTGAGAGAGCTCATCGCTAGCGTCCCGCTTGACGACAGAAAGAAGGCAACCACCGATATGAATGTTCTGTTGAAAGCGACAATAGACTTTGATGGTACGGGTCATGTCAAGGCAGACGGGAACGGTCTCTGGCGAGTGAGAGGTATGAGCACGTCACTCAAGCCCTATCAAGTGCTCGGTACCGCCTTCATGCGTCGCCGGGAGAATGGATCTGATGAACCGAAAGGTGGCTTGATGGCTGATCAGATGGGACTTGGAAAGACTCTCATGATGCTAGGTAAGTGCTCTCAACATACCTTGTCAAATCAAACTGACTCCTGCAGCGAACATGATCAACGGTCGACCACCTAAGAACGATACAGGCCCCAAGACAACTCTCCTTATTGCGACTCCTGCACTCTTGACGCAATGGAAGAATGAAATCGAGCTGCACACCGACGCCTCCAAAGTCAATATGAAGATTATGCGCTACGGCGCCGGTACGCGTCTTGACTCTACCAATTCCGCTCAGATTCTAGCAGGACACGACGTCGTTCTTACTACGTACACGGAAATCATGAAGTCGTATCCCAAAAACGAACCGCCTATCGAATGCCAAACTGCCGAGCAGAAGCTAGCTTGGTGGAGGGAAATCTTCGAGAATGAGAGGGGTCCTCTACACCGCATGATGTTCTTGCGCATCGTTCTCGATGAGGCTCAGGCTATCAAGAACCATATGTCGCGAACATCGATCGCATGTCGAGCTTTGATGGCGCATCACAAGTGGGCCCTCAGCGGTACACCAATTCTCAACAGCCTGACTGAGCTGTACCCTTACTTCAAGTTCCTTGGTGTCCCTCACACTGGCAGCTTCAAGATATTCAAGCACAATTACTGCGACAGTAAGAATGACGAGAACACCGAGAGACTGCTAGTGCGCCTTTCGCAGTTCATGATTCGACGCACCCACGCCGACGAGATGTTTGGCGCTCCCATCCTGAAGCTTCCTCAGGCTGACCAGTCGACTTACTGGTGTGATTTCAATTCCGTCGAGAGGAGCATCTACGACATTGTTCGCGCACGCTTTGCCAAATGCATCAACATGTGGGCGCAGAATGGCACTCTGGACAAGTCATACAGCAACGCGTTGGTGTAAGTACTCTATCTCAGCCCAAGTAACCTTGCTAACAATTTACAGCATGCTTCTTCGCCTTCGTCAATTGACCGGCCACATCCTCATGCTCCAATTCGTCATCCGTGACCTTCTCGAGCGCGAAGACATTGAGGCCATCAAGAGTGTGGTCGATAATGAGGCCAAGAACCCGAAGAACCAGAATGGAAAGACGATCATTTCAGTTCGCAAGCAGCTTGAAAAGGTTGCTGCTGACCAGAAGAAGAAGACTGCCGCTATCGAAGCCAAGAAAGCTGCCACCAAGAAAGCTGCCAAAGCTAGGAAAGACGCTGCCAAGAAAGCTGCCAAAGAGCGAGGAGAGGCTTACGTGTCAGAGGACGAAACTGCCAACGCCAATGCCATCGACAAAGACGATGATTTACTGGAAGAAGAGTTCGACCAGGTAGTCGAAGAAGACCCTGCAGATGATCTGATCCAAAAGTTCACCACAGGCGGCGAATTCGGCAAGGACTTCAACTTCAAGCCCTTCCTCGGCAGCCTCAAGACAGGTGAGAGTTGGGAGAAGACAAAGCAAAAGGCGAAATGCGGCTGGTGTGGAAAGCAACCCCGAGCGCCGCATATAACGTCCTGTGGTCACCTCATCTGCAAGGAGCCTTGCTACGAGAATGAGGTGATCCTTCCAATGGCCGAGGAAGACACGGATATAATCCCACCATGCAAGGCTTGTGGTGCTACTCCTACCCATATTATTCCTTGTGAGGTAGATGAGGACGATACACCTGATGCACCTGCACGAGGCACACGAGCCAACAAGAAGAAGAACAAGGAAAAGCAGCGCGCACGCCTCGGTCAAGAAGACATTGCAGAGAATTGGCTTACTTTCGCTGGCGATGACGTCCTACCCTCTGCGAAGACCATTGCTGTCAAGAGCCAGATCATCAACTGGCTCAAGGAGAACGAACAAGTCAAGATCATCGTCTATACGCAGTTTCTGGCCATGTGAGTAGCTTTGACTCCTTGATTCCCGCGATTCAGACGCTAACAGCCCACAGGATTCGCATTCTGGCACAGGTATTCAAGAAAGAAGGTTGGCAGTTTGCAGAAGTAAGTACCAGCCAGACAGCGACATGCCCTTTCGTCCGCTCGTTTGACGCTGAAATCAACCGCGAATGCCTCCCGGCACTACCCAAATCCTCAAGCTTTTGTAGATTGTTGCTAAACATATTGCGCAGTACCATGGCAAAATGAGCCTGAGCGCCCGCGATAAGGCCATCAGTTCGTTCGCCGAGAACCCAGATTGCCAGATAATGCTGGCGTCTCTGCGTTGTGGCGGCTGTAAGCACTCCCAATACTCTTACTAGCTGCCTTGCTAACTCGCATTGCAGTGGGCCTCAACCTGACCATGGCGTCCAAGGTCATCATGATCGATCCCTGGTGGAACTCGGCCTCCGAACAGCAGGCTTTCTGCCGCGTGTTCCGCATCGGCCAGCGCGAGGAGACGTTCATGAGCCGTCTCTGCGTCAAGAACACGGTCGACGAGCATCTCATCGGCATGCAAGATCGCAAGGACAAGGAGATTGCTGCGATCATGGAGGACGATGGCAAGACTATGAAGAAGTACGTGTTGATTTTTCTTGGCGATCGATCGACGCATAACTAACAACGAGCAGGATGGACACACGCACGCTGATGCGATTGTTCGGCAACTTGGAGGAGGACCCCGATGGTAAGCCTTTCATCATGGTCGATAACCCCGATCCACGCGGTGGTTTCAGGGCTGATCGTGATGACGAGGGCTATGCCGACGATCTCTAGTGTGGTACGGGATTTCGATGGGATTTGAGGTATACAGGCGTCTAAAAAGTGCGAATTTGAACTTTCTTGGGTCGGTTTGGGGACTACAGGCGTTGGTTTTGGCGTCGTGGAGTTTGATTTCGGGATGGCCTGGCGGGCTACACAGCACTCCTAGGATTTCTCCAGCGTCCAATGATGCGCTGGAGACCTCCCGGGTCCATGATGGGAATTTGTTTTTGGGCTAAAAAGCTATCGAATGATGCAAAAGTGCTACTACCTCGTTGCTTTATCGCGCCTCTGCTGCAGTCATGGACGCGTTCGCCCAGCTAAGAAGAGTCTCCAGATAAGGGCCGAAGAGCCAGCCAATCAGCGGGCTGCTGATAGCGAGGTACCTCAGCGACGCAGCTCGGTCGCGTAGGCCCTCATCACCAGCCCAATGCGACGCCGATTCCGACGTGATTGCGCCCGCTTCCCTGTCCTTGGCCAGCCATGTTGAGCCTGCGAGATAGAGCCCCGGACCTCGACAGCCTGCCATATCCACTGCAAGCTGATTAATGTCGCGTGAGAAGAGGCCCGTCAAAGCGCGCCCCGCCATTCCCCCACAATTTGCTTCTCCGGTAAACCGACAAGACCTGTAATGGAGAACAACACCACTGCGGAAGCGCACCCGACTTCTGACACGCCCAACAAGAAGGGACGCCGGAGCAAGAGGGATGCCGGAAGCGAGGATTCTAAGAAGCGCCGCTGCATCTCGTCCGCCTGCGTGCCATGCAGGAAGCGCAAGTCCAAGGTATGTTAGGTAACGGGAATTGGCCCTGATGCCCTTTCTCCGGCCTATACACACATTCTCCGGATGATCACCAGCCCCCTCGGAACCACGCGCCCTGTACGAGAGCAGTCGCTAATCTGCCGCACAGTGCGACGGTACCACTCCCGCCTGCTCTGCATGTGCCGCCGTCTACAACACGCCGTGCATCTACGATCCGAATTCGGACCACCGCCGCAAAGGCGTCTACAAGAAGGACATCGACAACCTCAAGACGCGTAATTCCACCCTCCAGACGCTTATCCAAGCTATCCTGAACTACCCGGAAGAAGAAGTCGCCGACCTCGTACACCAGATACGGACATGCGAGAGCTTGGACTCCGTTGCAGAGGCTATCATAGCGAAGGAGAACGGCGAAGACGACGAAGATGACCCGATTAGTCCGATTACAACGCCCATCATGGCGCCGGCAAAGGGCACATTCGAGAGTCAGCTGAGCGGGAAGATGGGCGAGCTGCGCCTGGAAGACGGGTCGACCAGATACATTGGCGGCACATCGCATCTGATATACCTGGGCCAAGGCAACGACTCTGCGGAATCGCCGGACACATATTCCGAGGACCAGTACCAGGAGGCGCAGGACCCGTTCTGCTCGTGGACGACTGTCACCTCGGATCCGGAGCTTGTGCAGCATCTGATCAGCATGTACTTTTGCTGGCACTACAGCTTTTTCACGACGCTATCCAAGAATCTCTTCCTGCAAGAATTCCAACAAGGCAAACCGCAGCTGGGATCCGGAAGGAAATCGCAATACTGTTCGCCGCTGCTAGTCAATGCTATGCTAGCACTGGGGTGTCACTTCACATCGTGGCCGGCCGCCAGGGCTGTCCGTGACGACTCTGCCACGGCAGGCGACCACTTCTTCAAGGAAGCTAAGCGGTTGATTATGGAGGACGATTTGCACGAGATGCCAGCTCTGACGACTGTACAAGCTCTAGCATTGATGTCTGTACGGGAAGCAGGTTGCGGGCGGGAAGCAAAGGGTTGGGTCTACAGTGGCATGTCGTTTCGCATGGCCTGCGACCTCGGCCTGAACCTTGGTATGCACAGCAAAGACACCATCGATGACAACGAAGAGGACGCGCGGCGGATCACATTCTGGGGCTGCTTCTTGTTCGACAAATGCTGGAGCAATTACATGGGACGATTGCCGCAACTACCCAACACGATCCTTACAGTGCCGAAGTTCGAAGTCTTTCCCAGCGAGGATGCAGAAACGTGGAGCGCAGTCACAGACTCCGGTCTCAGTCAAGCACACTCTCAGCCAAGTCGGACGCGTGCAGTCGCTCTCCAGATATCCAAGCTTTGTGAGATCTCCAGCGACCTCATGAACTCCTTCTACAACCCGATCGATATGGACAAGGTCAAGGGCAGACAGGCGGAACTGAAGAAGCTGAGCGAGATACACATGCGTTTGGAGACCTGGAGAAGGGACTTACCAAAAGAGTTGGAGCCGAAGGAGGGCGGATTGCCGCACATGCTGGTCATGCAGTAAGTACACCCTTCGCATCAGAACAGCACTCGTACTAACCAATTACAGCATGTTCTTTCAGTTATTGTATATTCATCTTTTCCGACCGTTCCTCAAGTACAATCCGAACAACTCGCCACTGCCCGCAAGTGTATCGCCGAGGAAACTATGCACACAAGCTGCTGCCATGATCTCGAAGTTGCTCCGACTATACAAGCGATCGCATGGCTTGCGCCAGATATGCAACATCTGTGTCTACATCACGCACTCGGCATGCACCATACATCTTCTCAACCTACCAGAGAAGAATGCGAAGCGCGATATAATACACGGTGTCAAGCATCTCGAGGAGATAGCGGAAGGCTGGCTTTGTGCTCGTCGGACGCTCGGCATCCTCAGCGTCCTGGCCAAACGCTGGAAAGTCGATCTGCCCGAAGAAGCTGCTACAGTGCTGTCCCGCACAGATACCAAGTATGGCCCCTGGAACGAGATCAGCACGCCGAAAGCAATTCGCCGTGGATCCGTACAGATGAGAGATCAGCATCCGTCGCCTGCGAGCCAGACATCACCAAGCCTCCAGCCATACAGCATGAACTTGGCCAACATGGCAACACCCCAGTTCTTTGCCCAAGCAACAGCCAACACTTCCAGTTCCGTAAGCAATGATCCTTCCACGCGCCCCTCCAGCACCCACACCATACCTCCTTCCGACGCAAACGCCCTGGCTTACATGCGCAATCAGCACCAGGTCAGCACACCACAAAACTCATCAAACTCTCTCAACGCACCGACACCCGCCTCCACACAAGGTCGGCGCTCCGTTGATGGTCAGACCACCGCTGGAAGCTCTCCAAGCCAGCTCTTCGGCGGCGTCGACCAATTGCTACGAGAAGGCCAAGACTGGATCTATCGCGATCAGACACAGCTCGCGACCGATTTTGAGAACTGGAATCCCCAAGGCATCGACGATATTGCGAACTGGTTTGCAAACACCACCAGCCCAGCGGGTGCATTCCAGGGTAACACCAATGCGCCTGTTATGAGCAGTGAGATGAGTGGGGGGCCTGTGGGTGGCAATGGGGTCAATGGGTATACGAACGGGAATACAAGTGCTGCTCCGGCCCCAAGTTTGAATGGGTTCGGTGTAGCTGGATTTAATGGTATGGGTATGCAAGGGTTTACTTATGATGAGCAGAGTTGGTATCAGTAAGCTAATGAGGAACATGGCTCTTCTGTGGAGATGGTATTGCTATGTCTTTTAGCGAATGCAATGTGTAGATGAATCACTTCTTGTCAGATACAGGATCGAGTAGCACGATCGATCAGCGTTGATATTCCAGGCGCTACAACGGCGTCGGCAACTAGAAATGAACTAATAGACACGTTTGAACCACATGCCCTACACCCACATGTCTTCACCTCTTATGCGCTTCCCAAGGAACTTCTTGACCTTGCGCCAACACCTCTGCGCCTTCCCTTTGAACGAATGTTTCTCCTTATTCCTCTTCCGTACACGTCGAGCAAGCTCATCATAATCCTCTTCCCATTCTCGCCAAAGCCTTTCCAGCATGGGATCACCCTCGGTAAGCCCAGCCTCTGGTCTATTATCGCGACTTGGCAGAGGTCCGATATTCCTCTCGCTCCTTCGCACTTCTTCATTCGTCACGTGCTGGATACGCAAGGCCTCTGCTTCGCGTAGTGAGGCATTATCGCCATCGTATTCGTCGGGTAGGTAATGTCTGCCACGGGGCCGAGGTCGTGGGGAGCCTGGTTCCGGGGGTGTCGGTGGTGAATCTGTGGCATGTCGGCGATTTCGGTATCTGCGCGATTTCACGAGGTCTGGGACATTTCCGAAAGGAACTGGCTTCCTGCGAACCTCTTCTTCTACAGGACTTAAGGCATGGGGTCGGAAGTTTTGGAGTGGGTTTGTGGTTTCTGAGTCGGGTAAGACGCGGGGCGGGGGGTTGGGTGGGGATCGCGAGCGGAGTTGAGTGTTGTTTTGAGGAGGCTGACGGACTATATGTATTGTTGATTAGTCAAGATCATAATTGTAGGGTAGTGGTGGCAGTTTTACAATCTAGTAGCTGTTCATGTAGCTCGCCTCTTCTGAGTTGGGAGACAAGGGTTGGATTTGAAGAGCGTGGGCGAGTCGAGTCGTCTTCATGCAGTGGAGGAACTATTTGTACCACTGATCAGTAGGATGTAGTCGTATGGCATGTGAGTAGTCTTACCGTTTAGCCCTCTCTGGGGTTGTCGGGGATAAATATTGTGAGAGCGTGGGCGAGACGCTGCCGCTCGGCTGCTTTCTGGCTGTCCATCTCTATCCCGGCCATCAACACCGGCATCATCTTCCGAGGCAGACCCTCCCGTTGAAGTGAAACTCGGCACTGTGCGGAGTCCTCCCGAACGATCCCATTGTATATTCGGCGCTCTTCTCAGTGTAGGCGTTCTCCTTCCTCTAGGTGGATCGAGAACCCATGGTAAGACATCGTTGGGCAGGTTGTCTTCTCCCCTGTATCGGGCATATGGGGCTCCCGGTGATGTGGATCCTCGTCCTGGTGTGGATGACGGGAGGCTGGTGCGTCTGGAGCCGCGAGGGGGAGTTGGACTGACATATCCGGGGTCATTGTAGGCGTGCTGGCCCGGGTTTGGGGTTGCTCTGCGCGCCGCCATGTACTCGGCTCGTCTTTCTCGTGGTCCCATTGGATTGGTATTTGTGCGGTT